GGGGGGGGGGGGGGGTTACCCCTGAACCTCGAGGCAGGGGTATCTGACCCCTTTTCCTCAGCTCCTGAACAGCAGCCTGGATCCTGCGAAGGGCAGGCCACTAACTGGAACGAGCTGGGGTCTCTGCAGGCTTCCAGGGTTACACCCAGAAGGGGCGTGGGTGCACACACTAGTGAGCCTTAGGTGGGGAGGCATACAGGATGTCTCAAAAGCTCTTTCTGCTCTTCCACTCAGCTGGGTGACCGTGAGGTAGGATTGCCATACAAAATATAGGACGCCCAGTTAAATCTGAATTCAGAAAACGACGGCTAGTTTTTCAGTAGACGTATGACCCATGACTATTAGGGGTATCCTTATACTAAAACACTGTTGTTCCCCTGAACTTCAACTTTTAACTGGGCGTCCTGCATTTTAGCTGCTAAATCCGGCAACCCTACCCTGCAAGTCCCTGTCTCTCTCTGGGTTCGTTTTCCCCATCTGTGCAATGCGGGTATTCCTGTGACACTTGCCTCAGGGACTCCTCAGGCGGAGCAAACCACCCCAAGGCCGTGCCTCCGCTAAAAGGAGTCGTGTGCGAAGCGCGCTGGTCTCGGAAGAGGTTCTCGCTGGGTGAATATGAACAAGCCCCTGTCTCCAGGAGCTCACTTTTCTCATCTGAGCCTCCGAGCCTAACCGGCGTAGAAACGATGCCCTTAACCACCTCGTAGCATAACCTTACACGCTCGGCTTTCAGCCGCTTCAACTACCCGTCACACCCCGGAGTCCCGGCGGACGCGGATTTCCGGTGGCGTGACGTCACTTCCGTGTCACAGAGCCTCCCAGGCTTCGAGGCCCGTCTTCTGGCGCCCTCTGCTTGAGCGGAGGAGGACTTTACCAAACAGCGAGAAGAGACAGCCGAGTCCGTTGGCTGAAGGACGGACAGACGCCGCCCGCAGCCTCCACCAGTGGAAAATCGAACCTTCGCCGAGGGCGGGCCCCCACGAGCAAGGGGTCCTGTTGGCACGCAGGAGGCAGGCAAGGGGGCGACCGGGCCCCTGCCCGGCTAGAAAGGCCCGCAGTAACACCGGAACTGGGCTTCTGCCCACCAGCTATTTCCGCTTCCCCTTACAAAGTAGGAGCATCCCTGAGTAACGGGGCCAGAGAGCTGTATCGATCTTGGGAGGCTCGTGCCCAGTGTCCTCCCCACTCATCCATTTCATTCCCTACAGGAGACGCCCGATGAATTCACGCAGAAAATCATGGGCTTTGAAAGAATTCTTGCAGGCCAAGGTGTTTTACGTTTTAAAATAATAAAGAGTACTCGCTGTGTGCCATGCCCTGCCCTCGCCCTTGGCTCGCACTTTTTCGTTTAATCTGCACTAACCTGTGAAGTGGATATTCTGACAGACTCCGACTCCTCAGTGCCTGTGTTGGAATCCTGGCTCTGCCAGTTATTACCTGTGTTTTCTGTGCCACAGTTTCTACATCTGTAAAATGGAGTAATACATCTACCGCATATCCTAATTCTAAGGATTAAATAAATTAACATTTAAAGTGCTCAGAATAGCAGCTGATTTGTGGTCACCATAGGAATCACTTAGGTTATTTTCATTTATAAATTAGGAAACTGAGGCTTAGATATGATGTAACTTGTCTAGAATATATAGTAACTAGTGGAGGCAGGTTGGGAAGCATCTCTGCCTACTCTGGAAGAACCTCTCAGTCATACTCACCCAGCCCTCTTCCTATGGAAGCCTGTGGGGACCAGAATTGCCTTTAGAGCAGCACTTGTATTTATTTAGTAGGACACTATTACCAAATGACTGCTCTCTGGGCATTTAATAATGCCAGTTAAGATGGTGAGGTTCTATAACTTGTTCTATACATCTCCATTGAAGATGGTGAGGCTGCAAGATCCATCTCCTGCTAAATTTCATTGATATAAAAATCAGCAGAAAC